TTTTGCTATTGAATTCTGTTTTGTTGAGGATGTTTGCATCAGTGTTCATCAGGGATATTGGCACTTAGGTTTTCTTTTCCTTTAGTATCTCTGTCTGGCTTTGGAATCAGGGTAATGCTTGCCTTCTAGAATGAATTTGGGGCTGTTCCCTACATGTTAATTCTTCTTTAAATATTTGGTTGAATTTTCCAATGGAGCCATCTGGTTCTAAGCTTTCCCGTGTTCATTCTTCTTTGTAATTACTTTTGTAGTTTAGATTTCTGTTCATGATTCTGTCGTGGTAGTTTGAGGGTTTCTGGGCATTTGTCCATTTCATCTAGGTTATTTTTTTACATATACTCTTTCATAGTATTCTTTTAAAGTCCTTTATATTTCTATAAAATCATTTGTAATACTCCCTCTTTCTCTTGATTTTGGTAAATGTATTAGCAAAGGTATGTGGTCATGGTCCTGGACTTTTCCTTGTTGAAAAGTTTATTGTTACTGATTTGATCTCCTTACTAGTTACAGGTCCATCAGATGTTGTGTTTTTCTCATTTAGTAATGGTAGGCGTTTTCCTAGGAATTTACCCATTTCATTTAGCTTATCCAATTTGCTTGCCTACAAATATTCATAGCTTTTTCTTAGAGTCCTTTTATTTCTATAGGCCCAGTAAGATTGTCCCACTTTCATTTCTGATTCTAGCTGAGTCTTCTACTTTTCTTAGTTAATGAAGCTAAACCTTTGTCCATTTTGATCTTTTTTGAAGACCAACTCTCTAATTTTTCTCTCTTTATTGTTTCCTTCTTTCTGTTAGCTGTGAGTTTAGTTTGATCTTTTTCCAGTTCTTTAAGTTGTAAAGTTAAGATTTCTTTTTTAATGTATGCATTTGTAGCTATGATTTTCCCTTCTAGCACTGCTTTACCTACAGATCTCATCAGTTTTTGATATGCTGTGTTTTTGTTTTCATTTGTCTCTAGGTATTTTCTTATTTCCCTTTTGATTTCTTCTTTGATCTATTTTATGTTAATTTCTACTTAGTTGTGGGTTTTCCTGTTTTCCGCTATTGTCTGGTTTTCTTGCATTGTGACTGGAAAAGCAGTTTGTATGACTTAACATAGGCCCCGCTGATGTATAATTATAATGTTCTAGTCTTCTGTCTCCTTATTGGTGATCTTTTCAGTTGTTTTGTCCATTATTAAAAGTGTGTATTGAAGCCTCCTAATGTTATTGCAGAGCTATTTCTTTTGATTCTCAGTGTTTGCCTCCTATTTAAGAGCTCTGATGTTTGGTGCATGTGTGTTTGTAATTGTTAGGTCTTCTTAGTGTGTTAATACTTTTATCATTTTTTACTTAAAGTCTTTTTTTTTTTTCCCCTGTTATTAGTATAGCCATCCCTGCTCTCTTTTGGTTACTCTTTTGGCCTGGAATATCTTGTTTCATCCTTTGACTTTTTACCTGTGCACATCCTTAGATTTCAGGCGAGTCTGTTACAGGCAGCATATAGGTGGGTCGTGTGTTCTGAAGCCATTCTGTCAAGCTGTCTTTCGGTAGGGGATTTTTTTTTTTTTAAACGTTTTTTTATTTATTTCTGAGACAGGGAGAGACAGAGCATGAACAGGGGAGGGTCAGAGAGAGGGAGACACAGAATCCGAAACAGGCTCCAGGCTCTGAGCCATCAGCACAGAGCCCGACGCGGGGCTCGAACTCACGGACCGCAAGACCATGACCCGAGCCGAAGTCGGCTACCCAGACGCCCCTCGATAGGGGATTTTAATCTTCATGTCTTACAGCTTTGTTTGTTGTTCATTTCCTTCCCTACTCTTTTTGTGTTATTTGTAGTTGATGCATTTTGATTCTTTTTTGGGGTGTACGTTCTTTAGGACGTTTATGTAAACACCATGGTAACCACAAAAAAAAAAATACCTAGGGGCTCCTGGGTGGCTCAGGTCATGATCTCACAGTCCGTGGGTTTGAGCCCCACGTTGGGCTCTGTGCTGACAGCTCAGAGCCTGCTTCAGATTCTGTGTCTCCCTCTCTCTGACCCTCCCCTGTTCATGCTCTGTCTCTGTCTCAAAAATAAACATTAAAAAAAAATTTTTTTAATACCTAAAGTTATTAAAACAATCTATTTTAAACTGCTAAGAGCTTAACTTCACGTACAAAAACACTTTTTACAACTTCTACCTTCCCTTAATATTGCTACCAAAAAGTATATTGTGTACCCATAGGATTTTAAAGACAGTAGCAGAATTAAAAGTGAAGTTAGGAACCGAAATTATACAGGTTTTGTCTTTTAAATGTTTATTTTGAGAGAAAGATTGCCAGTGGAGGAAGGGCAGAGGGAAGGGAGAGAGAGCCCCATGACTGTGAGGTCATGACCTGAGCTGAAGTCAAGAGTCGGATGCTTAACCCTCTGAGCCACCCAGGCACCCCTAAAATTATACAGGTTTTTAAGTGTCTCCATATATTACCTTTAGCAGAGAACTTCATTTCTTTATAACGTGCAAATATTGTCCAGTACCCTTCCAAACACTCTTTTAGTGTTTCTTGTAGGTCAAGTCTAATGGAAATGAACTCCCACAGATTTTGTTCGTCTTGGAACGTCTGTTTCTCCCACATTTTTGAGAGACAGTTTTACTGGAAATATGTTCAGTTGTCTGATTTTTTCCCTTCATTAATTTACATATATCATCCTACTGTCTTCTGACCTGCTAGGTTTTTGTTGAGAAATCCGCTCGTGATCTTAGGGAGGATCCCTTCTGTGTGACCGACTGCCCTCTGCTTGCTCCTTTCTAGATATTTGACTTTGCACGGTTTGGTTTTAGTGTATTTTAATGTGGGTCTTTTGGAGTTTATCCTGTGGAAGTTTTGGAGTTTCTGGACACTATATTACTTCAAATTAGTTCTCTACCCCCTTTTCGTATCCTCTGGGACTCATACAGTTCATCCCCTTGTCAGCTTGAAGTCCCTTCAGCCCTGTTCATTTTTTCCTTTTGCTTTTTCAACTTGATGATTTCCTGTGACCTGGCTTCCAAGTTCATGGATTCTTCTGCCTGTTCAAGGCTGCTGTTGAACTCTCGGTGAAGTTTCCAGTTTTGTTACTGCATTGTTCAGGTTCAGAATTGTGTTCAGGTGTCATTTTCGTGATTTTATGTCGGTATCTTGTCATGTCAGTATTTCTTAGTTCATTGAGCATATTTAAAGTCTTTAAAGTCTTTGTCAAGTAAATTAGAGTCCTGTTTCTACAGGTTTGGTTTTTTAGAGATACTTACTCTCCTTTGCATGAGTTGAGTTTCTTTGTTTGCCTTGTGATCTTTTGTTGAAAATTAAGCCTGTGGGGTCGGGGGACAGCCACCTGTCTGTGGACTGGCTGTGTGCAGAGGAAGACCTTCATTAGCTTGACATTTTTCTGGGGTGCATCTTCCCTGGACCCTGGTCTGTTCCATCATTCCTTCCCATCCCTCACCACCCCCGCATGTGTGGCTGCTTTTGGACATGTTGATTTTTCCCACCTCTGCTTTTTTTCAGGACCTCAGGTTTTGATTATATTCCTCTGCCTGATCATTTCTTCCCCCCAGGTGCCCACAGGTCTGCAAACTCCATCACAGAACCGTGCCCCTCTTCCCACCAGTGCTCAGGCAGCAGCAGCCCCCAAGTCAGTCAGAACATTGCTGAGAGAGGAACCAGGAACCGGGCGGCCTCCTCCCAACCTCCCCACACACTCACCAGGAGGGGGTGGGCGAGCAAAACCTCTGGGAAGTTTTGCAGTTTCCGGTACAGCTTTTATTTGGCTAAATGTTATCTTGGTTGCTGCTGCTTCTTAACTGGTTTTCCAAGTTCTCACAAAGTCATTTTTGTCTGTGGTGTTTTACTTGTCGTTCCTGGATGGGAGCAGGGCTGGACCTTCCCACTCTGCCCTCCTGCTTATGTCACTTGCTCCTTTGGCCCTCTGAGTATATTTTGGACAGTCCTAAAGACTCTGGCATTGGCGTTACCCATGGTGGACAGTTCATTTCTGCCATTTTATTTTATTCCCTCCAATCTAGGCCATATTTTTCCTGGGGGTTTTGTATGCTTTAATTTTTTTGTTGTTGTTGCAAATTGGGCATTAGAAAAAACATCTTTTGAGACCAGCTCTTGTCCAGGGAAGGTCTTCACTAATGTGCAGGGTGCGTTCTGAACCCTGGGGTCTCCCCAGGCATATTCTGAGCATGTGTCTTGCCTGAACCTATGTGTGTGGTTTTCAATTCCTTCATATACAAAGACTCCCAGAGACGGTCTCCCTAACTTTTTGAGGACAGAGCTGTTCTCTTGTAGTCCTTCATACAGAATCTCTGTTCCCAGCCTTGTGCAGGTCTCTAGTCCCCCAGCAGACCCCAGACGGGTTGGACTATCACAAAGTCTGCTCTGTCCAGTTTGAGATAGGGAATTGGGCTCCTGGATCCTTCAGACAGCACCTTACCATGAGCAAAACTGCCAGTACGTTTACAAGTAGCTGCGTACGGAGAACGCCCAAATGATCCCCAAGGAAAGACGCATGCTTAGAGAAGGGGCTCCTGGGTGGCTCAGTTGGTTGAGCATCTGACTTCAGCTCAGGTCATGATCTCACAGCTTGTGGGTTCAAGCCCCACGTCAGGCTCTGTGCTGACAGCTCAGAGCCTGGAGCCTGCTTCAGAGTCTGTGTTTCCCTCTGCACCCCACACCTGTGCACGCATGCGCGCTCTCTCTCTCTCTCTCTCTCAAAAATAAATAAATAAAAGACCTGAGAAGACCTTAAGCCCTCACTCTGGGCTGATCCCAAATTTCCTTCCCTTTTAAATGTGTGGGTTTTTTTCCACTGGATATTCTATTGTTTGCTGTAGACCTTTGTTTTTCAGATATTTTAGCTAGTCTCTGTTTTTTTTTTTTTAAATAAAAATGTTTCCTTTGCGGAACAAGGGCTTGGAGCTTCTTAATTCACCACCTTGCTGATGTCAGTCTCTCTGTCCCTGATTCTTTATTCTCTTTATCCCTTCAGGAGGCAGGAATCAAAACGAGAAGGAGACTCTTCACGAAGCAGGAGTAAGGTGCCTTTCATTGGGAGAGTTTTCATGTTGGCAAATCAAGAGACATATCGTGAGCAAATTCACCAAAGATCAAGACTCCAAGATAAATATTCAAGGAAAGAGTTCTGAGTTCCCCAAACAGTGTGATTCCCCCTGTCAAGTGGGAGCAGGAATATGTATTCAGGCTTCCGTGGAAGATAGCTGTATAATGAACCTTATAGAGGATCATTCCAGTATTCTTGAAAATCAAGAATTTCTGGCTGGGAGAGTTCAGAATTCTTGGAGTAAAATATATCTCAGCGAAACACCGAATTACCAGAGAAGTTGTAAGCAGACTCAGATGAAAAACCAATTGTGTATATTTGCTCCATACGTTAACATCCTTAGTTGTATCTCACACCACCATGATGGCGATAAACCTCACAACGAAGACTGCGGTAAAGACATCTTAAAGGTGTCCCCTCTGGTCCAGCAGACCTACCACTGTCGTCAGTGTGAGAAAGCATTCAACGATGGCCCCAGTCTTGAACTTCATCAGCAGGTACACTCGAGAAAGAAGTCCTCCGAGTACGGCGCACACGAGAAGGACGCCCGCTATAGCTCAGCTCTGCCCATTCCACGAAGTGTTTACACGGGAAAAAAACGCTATTGGTGTCACGAGTGTGGGAAGGGTTTCAGCCAGAGCTCAAACCTGCAGACTCATCAGAGAGTGCACACAGGGGAGAAGCCCTATTCGTGCCTTGAGTGTGGGAAGAGCTTTAACCAGACCTCCCATCTTTACGCCCATTTGCCCATTCACACAGGAGAGAAGCCCTACAGATGTGAAAGTTGTGGGAAGGGCTTCAGTCGTAGCACAGATCTTAACATTCACTGCAGAGTCCACACTGGAGAGAAACCTTACAAATGTGAGGTGTGCGGGAAGGGCTTCACCCAGAGATCACATCTTCAGGCCCACGAGAGAATCCACACCGGAGAGAAACCATATAAGTGTGGAGACTGTGGTAAACGCTTTAGTTGTAGCTCAAATCTCCATACCCACCAGAGAGTCCACACGGAAGAGAAACCGTATAAGTGTGATGAGTGTGGAAAGTGCTTCAGCTTGAGCTTTAACCTTCACAGCCATCAACGGGTCCACACGGGAGAGAAACCATATAAATGCGAAGAGTGTGGGAAGGGTTTTAGTTCAGCCTCAAGTTTCCAGAGCCATCAAAGAGTTCACACAGGGGAGAAACCATTTCGCTGCAACGTGTGTGGTAAAGGCTTCAGTCAGAGTTCCTATTTCCAAGCCCATCAGAGAGTCCACACTGGAGAAAAACCATACAAATGTGAGGTGTGTGGGAAGCGCTTCAATTGGAGCTTGAATCTTCACAATCATCAGAGGGTCCACACAGGAGAGAAACCTTATAAATGTGAAGAGTGTGGAAAGGGCTTCAGTCAGGCCTCCAATCTTCAAGCTCATCAGAGTGTCCACACTGGGGAGAAACCATTCAAGTGTGATGCGTGCCAGAAGCGATTCAGTCAGGCCTCCCATCTTCAAGCCCATCAGAGAGTCCACACGGGAGAGAAGCCATATAAGTGCGATACATGTGGCAAGGCCTTCAGCCAGAGGTCCAATCTTCAAGTCCATCAGATCATTCACACTGGAGAGAAACCGTTTAAATGTGAGGAGTGTGGGAAAGAATTTAGTTGGAGTGCCGGGCTCAGTGCTCATCAGAGGGTGCACACAGGAGAGAAGCCTTACACATGTCAGCAGTGTGGTAAAGGCTTCAGTCAGGCCTCCCACTTTCACACACATCAGCGGGTCCACACTGGAGAAAGGCCATACATATGTGATGTCTGTTGTAAAGGCTTCAGCCAGAGATCACATCTTGTGTACCATCAGAGAGTCCACACTGGAGGAAATCTGTAGAAATGTGAGGTGTGGGGGGTGGCCTTCGGTCAGAGTTCACATCTTCTTCTCCATTGGAAAATCGACGCTAGTAATTGTAGAACGGTTCCTTCGGAACTCAGAAGCCTCAAGGAATCTTCACATGCAAGCAGCTCTGTGAAGTGCTCTCTTTTAAGGACAGCTGGGTGCTGAATTCTTTGCGAATCGGATTTCACAGACGAGAGAAAACCTTTTCCATAAATACGGCCAGTGTTTGTGCCAGCATTCTGAATGTCCCAATTTTTCGAGATGCAACATAAAAGCACTTCAAAATTCACCCCAGTCTACCCAGGAAAAAGGCCTTATAAATGAAGATTAGGGGCAGGACTTTAACAAAAGTATAGTGATGGACAAGTAAAATTAATGTCAGTGGCAGTGTAACCTCCATGTAGGGAGGGATGTTTTTCACTACTTTATCTCTACTGTGTAGAAAAGTGCGCTTGGCTCATAAGAGATGCCCAGCAATTACCGGACAAAATGGAGAAAATCTATCATTAGGACAGATACAGTAAAACCTTGGTTTTATGTGTGCCACACGTGAGCATAATTCATTCCAGAAACATGCTTAATCCAAAGCAGTTGTATACCTAAGCCAATTTCGTCATAAGAAGTAACTCGGATGATTTGTTCCACAACCCAAAAATACTCGGATAAAAATGATTACAATACTGTAATATAATACAAAATCATAAAATATAAGGAAAAATAAATTAACCTGCACTTACCTTTGAAAACCTTAGTGGCTGGTGTGAGGGAGACAAGAGAAAGGAGGGTTACTGTGTAGGATGACGGTCACTGTCACTAACGGAATCACTGCTATCTATTGGTTCAATGGACTCTTCTTCTGCACAGGGCCCTTGTATGTGGTCGCACGGATGTTGGCTACATACAGTATTAATAAACTCTTGTCATATACTGTATTTAATGTAACTGGCAAGAAGGCAGCAGAGGAAAGGGTCTCAATCTGTAGGCAGCCTGACCTAGAATGAAGCAAAGCCTTCTTAAGCTTACTCTTGTATGGAAAAGCAAAGGACTGTCCATAGGTGCTTTGAAGTGATAAAAAATACACTAGTGCCTGTTGTGGGTACCTTCCAACGTTCTGAAAAATCACTGATTTCCGCCGAACACCACAGCCTGAGACTGAGCATCTGAACATGGGAATCCTTCGGTGAGAGAGAGAGAACCATTGGCTCACTTGTGATCACGTGACACTGGGCATCACATACGACTCGTATTGCAAGACCTGACTCGTATTGCAAGACCTCCCTCGTCTATCAAGTTAAAACATATTAGAAATGTTTGCCTGTCTTGTGGGACATTTGCAGAACAAGATACTCGCAGTCCAAGGTTTTACTGTATTTGAAAATTCTACTCCCCTACCCTGAATTCATAATAACATACTTCAAAGGAATCCTGCAAGTAGCCTTAATGAGATTAATTTCAGGAGATACTCAAGTACAGAAAATTACATAATACTGCCATCCATAATAATGCAAATTGGGATGGCACTGGTGAATGGCCCCCATCCCCAATCTGGCCCTGGTTCTTTGTAGTGTGTCAGCCCTGTTGTACAGTGTAATATTTAATGTTATTAATTTGTATTTTATAGACTGAAAAATACTGTTTTGAAGCAATCTAATAACATGATACAATTTATATGCTTGGGAATTTTGGACCCTAATCCATTAAGGTAGATTTCACTGTTAACTCTTTAAAAGTGTTGAGTAGTTACTAATGACAAAAAGTTTTTTAGTAAACTTGAATTGTTAATAATTGGTTTCTTCTCCTTTTTCCATTTAGGCTTAGGTCAGCTTGCCTTCTCTGTGCATAAGTCCCCCATCCAGACCTCTGTAGGCAGGGGCTTTAGCAGACTTCAAGTACATTAATTTTGTCACACCCCGCCCCCCACCAAAGGGAGTGTGGAGCAAGAAACCTGTTGAATTTTATTGAAATTTCATTAAATGTAACAATTTAGATGGATTACCATTTGCACAGCATTCAGCATTCAGTGCCTCTTGTTAGGAGCGAACACCATTAGCTGGTCAATATATATCATAATACCCTTTGACCTGGCAATCATAGCACTAGAGGCTTTGCTTAAAAGATTATAGGAAAAGTGGGAGTGGACACAGGATGCTTATACTTAATTTTATAAAAAAAAAAAATGCTTAGCAAAATATTGGAGTAAATATGTTCTAATGATATACAACTGCAAAAAAAAAGATAACGACCTTGATCTATAATGGCAGGTAGAGAACCATCTTTCATGAGAAAACTAGGTTAGCGCCCTCCCAGTATGTGTGGACCAACAAATATGTATACCTACAGATGTGCTTATGGATGGCTTTATCTCACCATATGTCACGGGAACCTGTTTACAGAGATGCATGAAAGGATGTTCATTGTTTCATTATTGGTTATAGCACAGTTTGCATTCATCAGGTGGGTTGACAAAACAGTTTATGGTTTATTCAGTGCAATACTATGCAAAATCACATGAAAAATAAACTTATGGTTACTAATACTGGTAAATACCCAGGATATGCAAATAAGAGTGGCCAGAGTTTTGTAGGAGATAGATGCATGTCAATCTATTATGTCCCCTTTAAAAGTAATCAGATCATATTCATACCTCTAGATATACTGTGCTATGTATGTAGAATATTCTCATGTATACGTATGATACAATTACCTTTAAAACGGGGGGTATTAGAGTAAAATTTTAACTTGTTTCGAGAGCATTTTAAAGCCTTTATTTTCAGCTGAGTTGAGAGGACCCACACAGCTTTGGTTCCTTGGGCATGTCTTTCCATCTCTGTGGTCGCAGAGCCACTTCATACTGACTGGACACTACGTGGAGGCTCAGAGTATCCTAACAAAAATCAGCAGAAGTACTATGGCCTCGTCTAATCTACCCTCAGAAGTTACAGTGTTAATTCGAGGAGGCAGTTACAAAAACCCATCCAGGATCAAAAAGAGAGGGAGCACGGACTCCACCTTTTGATAAGAGGAGCGTCAAGGAATTTGCAAACGTGTCTTAAGATTACCATACTTGGTTATAATGTTTTCTAATCTACAGCTTATTCAAACTCCACAGTTGTCCCATAATATGTTTATAACAGTTTTTTTTTTTTTTTCTCTATTCCAGGATCTGATCTTAAGACAGGTCGTTAAGTTGTCCTGTTCCTTTAATCTTTAAATCTGGATCAGCTCCACGGTATTTCTCTTTCATGAAATCAGTACCTCTGAAAAGTATGGGCTATTTTGTAGACTATCCCTAAATTTTGGTGTGATTTCTCATGATTAGATTCAAATCAGTGCGGCAAGCATGTTCCATGAATGACACATACTTCTCAGTGCATTAAACCAGGAAACATATTTATCAGTGATCCTAGTTTTGATCATTTGAATAAACTGACAACTTCAAGGTTTCTCCACTATAAAATTGCTGTTTTGCCTTTGATATTAATAACTAGTTTGTGGGGAGATTTTTGTGTAACAGCTACCTTATTACAATCTTTCACCTGCTAGTTTTATTGTTGATATCTTTGGTCTGAATCAGTTATTACTGCGATGATTGCAAAGCGATGGCTTTCTTGCTCCGTCATTCCTCCTATATTTAGCAATTGGCATTCGAGCTTTCCCTTCTCCCGTGTGTCTCTTTTCTATCTGTATGTATCATCAATATGAACACTTGATTTCTGGTCTAATAGCATCTTGGGTTTATCTTGTATACTGCCTGCTGCAGCCACAGATTCTACAAAGACCTGATTCCTTTGAGTGGAATGGTACTTAGAAACCAAGATCTGCGTGCTATGTGTTATCATTATTGGGGTATCAGTCCTTCCTGTATATGTATGTATGTGAAAAATGAAGATACCTTCAACTTCAAATAAGTATGTCTAGTCTGTCCCTATTCCATATTAACTTCTTTTGCAATAGTCGGAAATCAGTTCCCACTATCATCAATCTGTTTACTGATTATTCAATCCTTTAATACACAGCAAGTAGTTTTGAGTTGCTAAACAATAGCATTGTGGGGGTAACTGGGTAGCTCGGTCAGTTGAGCATCCAACTCTTGATTTCAGTTCAGGTCATGATCCTACGGTCATGGGGTCATGCCCTGCATGAGGCTCTAAGCTGAGCATGGAGCCTGCTTAAGATTCTCTCTCTCTGTCCTTCTCCCCCACTCGTGCGTGCTCTCTCTCAAAAAATAAATAAAACAATAGCATTGCCAAAAATAAACCTGGCTGTGTTCAGGACTTGTTTACAAGAATTTTTCTCTTTAAACCAAGTATATAAAGTACTTTAAAAGTAACTTTGTCTATTTCTTTTTTGTTTCCATTCAATCTAGTTATATTATTCATTTGAAATAGAGTCTTTTCTTTAATGTTTATATTCCCTTTCAAGCTCTCTGTATCTTGTGATTTACAAAAATTGGTAAATGAATTAAGTTCTGATGAAACTCTAGTTCCATAAGTACCCTAATATGTTTTTATTTGTATTGATTTCCTTTAGACATATGGTTAGACATATTTATTAAAGTTTTTTATTTACCTCCTTAGAAATATACAATAAGTACTTTTCATTTTTTCATGAAATTAATCTTTATATATTCCTTTGTGTAGATAGGCCACAGGAATGGGGAGGTTAAAATGCATGGTGGAAATTGGGTGGATTCACAGAAGTTTGGTGGTTTACAAATGGTCAAGTCTTTGTATTTTCTTTATATTTGAAATAATCCAGGATTAAAGTAAAAAATATGTGTGTATATTTATGTACACATATAAATATAAATCTATACATCAATATATGAAAAGAGAACTAGTGAGTACAGACTTTTAGGGTCAGAGAAAGTTTACCAAACTCTGCAGTCGATGTGCAGTTGTAGTTGCTCTGAGACTTGGACAATTTACTGGAAAAAAGCTGCCTGTTGTTGAGGCATTCTTAATAACTACCATGAAATTTCAATGAAGAAAGTTGTCCCCGACCAAGGATTCTAACTCTTCCAAATTGTCTCTTTTCTCTCACATTCCTTGTACTAGTTACTAGACTTGGACATGGGGTAGGTATCTGTTGTTCATTTTCCCTTCCAAACCATTATCTCCATCTCCCCTCTGCCCATTAATTTGCACAAACTACCCACTGTTCCTTCATGCAGCTATCAACCAATCTTCATTCTTCTTGTCCCTTGATTTTATCTCCAGAACGAGTCCTGTTACCCTGCCACTACTCTTGTCACACTACTTGAAATTATATCCACTTCCAAAAACCTGGACTCTCAGTTCTTTGACTGCTGTGCCACCAATGGTCTTGTCTTCCCCATCACCTCAGCCCCTGACTCCAATGGTAACATCTTACTTACAAGAAAGTAACCAGAAACCCTCTATAATCTCAAACATTCCAATCCAATCACCAACTGTCATTTTACCAGCCTATATCCTCTTTATTCTCATTTTAATAACTTTTAGAACTCACAAGGACCTAAAATTCATCACTCCTACTCGCTTTCACTCTCCCACCTTAATTTCCCCTATGTGTGGAAAGAAGATCAGACTTCCTTAAATCCCAATGCCCAAAACTGTGTCTCATGTCAATCTCTAACAGCAAGGAATACTTCAAGAGTGTTTATGTTTCCCAGTCTATAGAAAGGCAGGGAAGAGGAAACTGGGTTAGGAATATATGCCAGATGAAGCAATCTACAGT